AAAGATATCACATGTTCTTGGGTAGGATGACTCAACATCATGAAGAAGTCAATTGTTCCCAAGTTAATATATAAATTTAACACAATAAAAATGCCAACAACTTTTTGTCTGGAAACAAAAAAGCTGATTCTAAAACTTGTATGAGAGTAGATATGGAAGTCCTAAAATGATTTTTAAAATGTTTCATATAAAATAACCTAAAATCTATAAAAAGTGGGCACACGAGGAGATAGCAAAAACCAAGAGATATATCAAACAATAGAAAGACATACTTGGGGAATTCAGACAATGGAGTATGCTCCCTTCTGAGTAACTCCCTCTCAGCACCCAACTGCCATGTGTGAGAAGTCCACGCCCCATGGAGATGCCAGGTATGGATGCTCTGTTTAAGTCTCACACTGGGCCCAACCTTCAAGGTATTCCAACCCAGGCTCTAAATAAAAGAGCATTTGGATGATTCTAGCCTCTAGCTGTTTAAGTCACCCTCAGTGGAGGCATCAGTCATCATGTAGCAAAGACAAACCATTCCCGCTATGCCCTGTAAAAATTCCTTATCCATGGGATCCATGAACATAATAAAGTGGTTGTTACCTTATGCCACGAAGTTTGAGATGATTTGTTATACAGCAACTGATCACCAGAAGAGAAACTTAGAGATACAGTGATAACATAGCATGTAACTGGACTCCCAGAAGAAGAGAAGAGAATGGGGCGGAATAATATTTAAACAGATAATGGCTGAGAATTTTCTAAAACTCGTGAAAGATACCAGGATACAAATATGAAAGACCCTATGAACTCCATAGAATAGATAAAAAGATAAGAACCCTTAAGCACATCATAGTTAAACTAATGGAAACCAAACCTAAAGAGAAAATGGCTGCAAAAAACAGCCAGAAAATAAAAGACAAATTCTCTGTAAAGGAGCAAAAATTAGAAAAAGTTAACTTCTCAACAGACCATAGAAGCCAACATATAATAGAGTGGTATTTTCAAAACAATGAAAGAAAAAAATAACCACCAACCTTGAATTTTATATTTAGCACAGTAGAAGCTGTTGGTGTCCCACATCACATTCCTCCAGCCCAGTTCTTATTGTGGCTTCATTTGTAGTCAATTGATTGGTAACCTGAATTACATCTTCAAAATCCCTTTTGCTATGTAATATAACATAACTATGAGAGTATCCCCATGGGACAGGAGTCCTGGGGGCCATTTAAAAATGCATAGCCTTCTGCCTACCATATACACTCTATCACCCATCAATTCCACTTCTAGGCATATACCAACCTGAAATGTGTACATTATCTTCATCAAAATACATGCTCTGCAATGTTCATAGCAGCACTAGTCATAATAGACAAAACTTGGAAACTACCCAGTGTCCCTCAAGAGAATAGTAGTATGTTTGCTCATTTAAATCTACATAGCAGTAAGAATAAAAAATAATATAGATGAATCTTACAAACATAAGGTTGAGCAAAGAAAAGCCAGATGCAAAAAATATTTTTCATTTATATAAGTACAAAAATTGATGAAACTTATCTATGGGTAGAAGTCAGAATAGTGGTTGCCCTTGGAAAAAGGGGAAAGGAATGGAAGGGGCATAAAGAGCCATATTTGGAAGGCTGATACAATCGTGTCTTGATCTAGGTGTGTTCAATTTGTGAAAATTTATTGAGCCATATATGTATTCTCTGTGTGAAGATTTTATATTACTGTTTCACATGAATCTTCGAAAATCCAAAAGAATCATCACACCAATTACTAAAAATAATAGAAGAATTTATCAAGATGGCTAAAAGTAAAATTAATATACAATTGCACTTCTATACACCAGCAACAAAAAACTAGACTATGTAGTGTTTAAGTATAAATATAAATATATATATAGTTTTAAACATCATTCACAATAGAATCTGAAAATGTCAAGTACCTAAAAAGTAACAAAAGGCATGAAAATCTCAATAGAAAAATTATAAAACTTTATTAAGAGGTATTAAAGAGGACTTAAATATACAGAGAAAAAATTCTGTACTCATACTTAAGAAAACTTCATATTATAAAAATATCAATTCTCCTCTAATCGATCCATAGATCCAATGCAAATGCAAACAAAATACAAAATAACTGACTCTAAAATCTATCTGGAAGAGAAAAAGTTCAAGAATTTCCCTTCTGAAAAAGAAGGAAAGGTAGTGCTTATTTGCCCTTCCAGCTGCTTGGATTTGCTGAAGAATTCAGTGCAGAACTGATAAAGAAAAGACCAAGTGAGCAATGGAATAGAGTGGAGAGCCAAAACAGGCCCTTACATGTATAGGACCGTAGTGTGCATCAGAGTGACAGGGAAAGGAGAAATTATATAGTGAATAAAGTTGGACAAAAATAAGGCTATATATATGGAAAGAAAGAAAGTTGTAACCCCAATTCGCTCTATACAAAAAAAGTCAGCTCTAAGTGAGTGAACGACAAGACTTTAAATCATTAGAAAATATAGGTGATATCTTATAGACCTTAGAGTAGAAAATGATTTTTTAATTTTATTTATTTATTTTTTAAATATATCTTTATTGACTTCAGGGAGAGGAAAGGAGACGGAGAGAGAGAGATAGAAACATTAATGATGAGAGAGTCATGGATCGGCTGCAGCCCACAACCCGGGCATGTGCCCTGACTGGGAATTGAACCCTGATCGCCTGGGTCCTAGGTTGACGCTCAACTGCTGAGCCACACCCAGCCAGGCAAAAATGATTTTTTAAATGAGATGCATAAAGCACAACTTAGAAAAGATAAATTCGACCACATTAAAACTAATAACTTTTATGAAAACCCCTTAAATAAGTAAATTTTAAACTTCAAAGCTCCCCCGCCCAAGCCAGAAAAAAAATGTGAGGTAGGTTCATCTTATTTCAATTTCACAAAAGTTTATAAAACATTTAGTCAGTGTACACAGAAATGAACGAACACAGAACTAAAAGAGACAACGATGAATAAAAACAAATCAGGTCCTTTGAAATGTTTCGTAAGATCACCACATCTCTGGCAAGGCAGGTCAAAAAAAAATGCAACTACAGATTGAAAGAGAAGAAAAGTCCCATTACAGAACTGGGTTAAGCATAATCAGGGCAAACTGTGATCCTGAGAGCACTGTTCTTACCTACGGGGTGGAGGGGAGCACAGAAAGACAGGTAAACTAAGTTTCAGTGTATGAAGGCCTCCCATCTCCTGTTTCGCTCGTCTACCCAGCAAAGTCTCTCTAGCAATAAAGGGGATATATTGCACGTAAATGCATTCATTTGTTCACTCGTTCCAGAACCGCACTTGGCTCTCAGTCCCAGCCTCCATCTCAATGCCTGGGATTGCAGAGCACAGCAAGGCGAGGACTGCGAAGGAGGGAAGCAAGGCGCCCCTCGGCCAAGGGAGAAGCAGCTATTTGAGAGTCAGCAAAGGCAAGGATACATAACCAGAGCCTTCCACCTGGTGTGGCGACAAAGGTGACAGGGTTGCGAAGCGAGATGGAATTAACAGGCCTCCCTGGCATCTGCCCTCACTCACTCGCCTGCTTTCTCACCTCAACAGTGGAAAACCTGCAGGAAACCTAAGTGACTTCTGGGCTGCTCAGTTCAAACCCTCCCTTCTGGGTCAGTGCCGCTGGCTCACAGATGCCTTCCCCGTTGGGCCGCAGGACGGTGCTCTGGGCTTCTGGAAACTGCTCGCCCACCGTCTGGGGCAGCCAGGCTAAGGAATGGCTGCGGTGGGCGCAGAGGCCTGCTCCCTTGCCCATCTGGGACAACTAAACCCAGGCCTCCCTGCTGGAAAGCGGGGGCCTCAGCGGCAGCCGCGCTGCGGGTCCCCTGATCCTACCTTCCTTCCTTATGGGTGCATTTTTTTAAAGAGCCCTCCCCAGTACACCGGCCTGCAACCCTCCTCTCAAAAAAATACACATAGACACTTAATGTAACCTCTCACATGCTGTTTTAGAGGGTATTTTTCTTCCTCTCCTCTTTCAGACCCGGTTCAGGCTTTACCACCCGTATGAAGCCCCAAGCAGCTCTTTGCACGTAATCAAAGGCCAGCCACCATCTATTGAGCACTTACTCTCCGCAGGGCGCGTGCTAAGTGCTTCGACTTCATGCTGCCTTTGATCAGGACCTAACTGCAGGGTAGTTACCAATATCTTTTCGAGATTTAAGGACTTGCCCAAAGTGACACGGCTAATCATTAGCAGATACTGGGTTAAAATTCCAATTTGTAAAGCCCATGCCTTGAATGGCAAGGAAACAAGAAGAGAAAGTTAAAGATAGTGACTCCTTCCCCTGGCAGGTGTGGCTCAGTGGTTGGAACATCCTCCTGCGCCCCCCAGGGTCAGGGGTTGGATTCGCACTCAGGACACGTACAGGGGTTGGTTTGATCCGCTGGGACCTGTGGCAACAGCTGATGTTTCTCTCTCACAGGCTTCTCTCTCCCTCGCCCTTCTTCTCTCTCGCGCGCTCTCTCACATAAATGAGAAACATATTATCAGTTGAGGATTAAAAATAATTTAATTTAAAATAAAAGGATAGTAGCTCCTCAAAAGTCACATAGGAAGTAGTGTCGGAATTGGGATTCAGACCCAGGTGCAACCCCAAAGCTGGCCCTCGTTAGGTTAAATGTGTGGCAGGTACGGAAAATGTTAATTGTGTCCCACTTCTGCCCTTCGCAGCTCCTTTGTCATCTGCATTTGTTTCTACAGCACTTCCCAAAACCTTCTTCGCGCGGCAGCGCTCCTGGGGACAGCCGAGGCGCATCCCAAGCCCGAGGAGGTGAGGCTCGTCGGGTGCCGTACAACGTGGCGGCGCTGTGCGTCCCCGCCCACGTAAGAAAACCTGCGTGATATCCGTACAACATGGCGGCACTCTCTCCACCAGGCCTCTGGTTCTGACGTAACCTCCTGTCCTGCGCAGTCGATTTCACCTTTGAACTCGCAAGCGCTTTCCTTTTCCTCTTCCGGGGACGGTGACTTCAGGTATGGCTGCTTTTACGTTCTCCCTGTAGTTACTCCCTTTACAATCGGCCGCCATCCGGGCAGTTGGGGGAGTCGGGACCTCTCAGTCCCAGTCTTTTGAGCTGGCGTGGGGGTAAGGGCTCCGGAGGAAGGCTGGCGGTGAGCAAGTCCCCGGCGTTTAGCTTCAGACACTCGTCGATCGGGACCTCTCCTCCGGAGCCGTGAGCTCACCGCCCGGTACTTGCCGCCTTCGAAGTCCGATGTTTGGAGACAAACGGGCTGTGGTCCCGCTGGTTGAGACAGGGAAACCGTGCAGCGTCTTTGTATCTTACGCCCACGTTTTAACGCCGCTCCTGTAGATGTTCTCAGGCTTTGGGAGGGCGGCCGGCCGGGATCCGTCGTGTCGTCGTTCAAAATGTTTTCATTCCCAAGGCCAATAGCAAGGAAGATAAAAATGTGTTAACGAGCAGTTTTCTGTCGTGGTTTGGGGGATGCAAACGCAACAGTGGCTGACTAGGTCTCTCGCATTGGCCTGCCTTGTCGGTTTCGGTGTCTTGACAGTTCCGTTCTCGTGTAACGTCAGAAGGGAGCTTGTAATAATAAATGCAGGCAGTTTCCAAATAACAGCACGGCTGTGAGGAAATGGTTGCAGAATTTAGAATGAAAAAATGAGGTGGATTCAAGTCTTGCTTATGTTTTCATGTTATTTGGCGTAGTTCACTGAAAAACCAAGTCGTTCATGTGCGTGTCTGTATAACCGATTTCCTAAGTAACACCAAAGTTAGTGTAAAGGCATTTAGCTTGACCCAGGTGCTGCTTTCAGGCGAGACACTGAACCCTGAGGCTGCTGTGTGCCAGGCCAGTATAAGTAACTTTTTAGAATGCTTTGGGATCCTTCCTAGACTAGGGATAATTGGTGTTGTACAAACTATTATGAGTATGTATATGAATAAACACGGGTAATGTGTAAATTGTGCGATGCTGCTGTGTTTTAAGGTGTGTTATTTCCGTAATGCAGTTTTATTCCATTCTTAATTTAGGCATTCACAATGGTCCAGCGTTTGACATACCGTCGGAGGCTGTCCTACAATACAGCCTCTAACAAAACTAGGCTGTAAGTATTTCTAAAATTTAAAATACATCTTGTCCCTTACTTTGCAGAATGCTGAACTATCATCTGTTCTCTCACTTTCTAGGTCCCGAACCCCTGGTAATAGAATTGTTTACCTTTATACCAAGAAGGTTGGGAAAGCACCAAAATCTGCATGTGGCGTGTGCCCAGGCCGACTTCGTGGAGTAAGTGAACCCTTTGCTATGAATAAATTAACAGGTTGAAGTTTTGAGCATTCATTTCTTGGCATGGTAATGGTGAAGGAGAGAGCACCACTAGGAGAAGTGAGAATTTCTAAACATCCATAATCTACACCTGTCAAGAATGTAGATTTTCTTTTAAAGCCAGTATGACAGATACAGTGAAATGCCTTTCGCATAAATCAGTTTATCATTTCCCTTTGCAGCCTACTTTAACGTTTGCACTTACCGCCTATTAAAATCTAGCACAATTTCTGTTCCTGTAAAAGCATCATAAAATAATCTCAGCATTTTCTTTATGCAGGTTCGTGCTGTGAGACCTAAAGTTCTCATGAGGTTGTCTAAAACGAAAAAACATGTCAGCAGGGCCTATGGTGGATCCATGTGTGCTAAATGTGTCCGTGACAGGTAAATATGACTCTTAAATCAAATGGGCTTTCTTAAACAAGTGTGTGCATCTGTCTATTACACTGCATGCTAATCATTACTAGAGCACTGGTGAAAAAATAATTTGCTTAAACAAAAGTAGCATGCTTTAGGACCCTTCCTAGACTAGGGATAATTGGTGCTGTACAAACTAATAAATGATATTAGTTCAAAATGATTTATTAGGATTTGGGGCCATCTTGATGCTAGATGTAGAAATTAAAATGACCTTAGTTTTATAGGGGAAGCAGGTAAACTATTAGGGCATTAAGATACTTGATGGAGAGTGGGAAGTGTTGTCTCTCTCTCAAAATCAATGAACATATCTTCGGCGAGGATTTAAAAAAGGAGGAACAAAATAGTGTTTATACTTCTGGTGTGGTTGGAACAGAGAATAGTGAGAGGTGGTAGACAAAGGTGGGAAAGTCACAGATCATGAAGGACAATTTTTAGCTCGATCCTTAAATGTGGGAATTGTTGGGTTTTGAGGAGGAGAGGGAAACCTTTGGTGTGCTAGAAACTAAAACTGCAGCAGGCTGGATAGTGAAATGGTTTTTCAGCAAGAGGTGGGCCCTTGGAACAGTTTGTCTGCTCTGTGAAGGCTAATGAAATGAGGTCCTCATTAAGACCTGAAGGCTGGGTGGGAGAGGGTTTCAGGTAGAGGGCTAGGTCTTTGGGATATGTGAAAGTGCCGTAGACAGGAGTGGAAGCAGTGGAGTTTATGATGGTACATTTACGCAGCATTTTTATAATAAATACTGTTGATAATTCATCAGGGAGGTGTTTCTATTACCATTTTTATATGAAGAAACCAAGGCTTGCTGCTTAAGTTCACATAGCTGGTAAGGAGCAGCACCGGGATGTATTCCAGGCTTTATTGAGACCCTTGCTCTTAACCTCACTGACTGTATTAATATTAAGTTGTCTCCAAAGACGTAGTGGAAAGATTTGGGAGGTGATGGCTCTCAAAAGTGAAGTTGGTTCAGAAAAGTAGTTTGCCCCCAGCTTATTCAGGTAGTTCTGTAAAGTGGTATAGTCAAACTTCTAAGCAAAGTCTGACACCAAGCCTTGCAAGTTCATTTTTCCTTTTAGAGATTAATTTGTAAGGGGATATTAAGGCATGTTATAGGAATATAAGTACACACTAAATATAACTTCCATGAAATGCAGGAGAAATTACTTTCAAGGGGCTGGGAACCTGGGGATGGTATTTAAGCTGGAACCTGAATGGTCAGTAAGTTTTAGGCAAGAGGTTGAAAGGCCATTGCAGCAAGGAACGCACATAGTTTTGACCTGGCACGCTGAGGGTGGTGAAATGAATGAGAAATGGAATTGGAAAGGCACGTTGGAGACTAAAGGGTTATATATTTTAAGGGAGAGGAGCTTGACTTTTTACCAGTCTTGTTCCCAGACTTTGCCAGATATACATGTGGGTGTTTATTAACAATACAATTCTTAGGCCCTAGCTCCTGGAGATTTGGGTGTGAATCTGTAGTGCCACCTTAGATTAGCATCAGCTGTGACACTGAGGGAGTCTGTGTGGTCTTTGCTTTGTGTAAGTTTAGGGAATTTTTAAGGGTCATGAGAGTGGCATCATTTTTATTTCAGTAATGTGATTACATCAGGAATCCCAGGGTTTTAAGTCTGGGCTATTAGATAACCAGGGGTACCAATAGGGAATGTTGGTGGGACAGGTTTCTATAGGAATTGAGTGTTTTAACTCTGGAGGTAATTTTGATTTAGCAAATGGTGTAGTACCTGCTGTTTGCCAGGTGCCATGTACTAATAATAGTGATCAATAAAAATGTACTCTCTCTCTAAATGGAGGTTCAAAGTACAGAAATTTTAAATTCTCCCAAATTTAATCTTTATAAAAACCCTGTGAAATAGATAAATTATTCCTGGGCCTTACTTGCCTAAGATCACACAGTCAATAAACGGTAGAGTTGGCCTCAGTCAGGTTCTAGAATCTTTGCTTGAAAAGGACCTCTTGGTGTAAATGTCTTTTACCCCTTCATTTTGGTTCCCAGCACATGACTTCTGTGTTTTTACTAGAAATTTTCAATACTGTGGTTAATACATTCTAAGACATTTTACAAATCAAGTAATATCATTAGTCCTAGGCCTTAATGAAATTCGACTAAATGAAAGCTACCATAGTGGCAGAGAGCCGTCTCCTGTAGGGGTGATTTGTAGTTTATCATGACTTGGAAGAGGAGGGCAGGTACTGCTGGCATAGAATTGAAGAATTATCCTGCTTTGATGCCACTGTGGGAAGGGGACCTTAGGCTGAAAGGGTCTGTCCATATAATTTCAGTTTTTAATTTGTACTTGTGGGTTTTATTTACTTCCTTGGGTGTCTTCCCTGATAGCTTCACTTAATTCTTTTCTGGTATTTTTCTTGCCTTTGTTAAATCAATGTTATTTGGGTTTAACTATATTGACTTAATATTTTCCTTTCTAGGATCAAGCGTGCATTCCTTATTGAGGAGCAGAAAATCGTTGTCAAAGTATTGAAGGCACAAGCACAGAGTCAGAAAGCTAAATGAAAAAATGAAGCTTTTTTGAGTAATAAAAGCAATTTAAAAATTCATTCTGTTATTTTGTAATTTGTTAGTATACAGGTTTGGGTTCTATGTTATCTGGGGACCCTGTGATTTCTAGATTTTTACTTTTTCTAAATGACAATAATGGGAAGTCAGTGATAGCTAGAATTTTTTTATGGTAACTCGAGACAAGCAGTTTGAGAAGTATCTGAATGTTTCTTTTAATACCATGTGGATCATTTTTATAGTAGCTCCTTTACCAAAATTCATAGGACAGATGCCACAGTGTTCAACAAGTTATTTGGAATGGACCCGTTTTTATACCTTTAAACCCTCTTAATTCCTTAGTTTACTTTCAAAATGGTCTATTTTGGAGAGCTTGAAACTGTATCAGCAAATAACTGTATAAAACCTTGTGTCATGGGTCTAGTGAAATTCAAATTCAGATTTATGTTGGATTTATAATCCAGATCAGAACATTAAAATAATAGATCTTAGTTTAGAGTGGGGCAAAATAGATTTACAGTTGTTGGTATGGAAAATAATAAAATATGAGAATGAACTCACAACTCTCATAACTGTAAACCTACTTTTGCCCCACCCTGTATTTTCTGAGTTATGTGATATTGTTTCTGACAACTCAATGCAAAACTATACAAAGATTTTAATAGTTCATGTTTACAGTGCTGAGATTGTACCAAGCGTCCATTCAAGTATCTACGCGCATACTTTGAATTGTCCTCTGAGACCATTTTTTCAGGTCATGTCAAGCTTATTTCCAAACTCAAGAGAGGAGTCCCCAGGCTACTTGGCACAAGCCAAGAAATCTAGAAACTCAGTAGCTACAGATTTCTGTACATTTTGACCCTTTTCCTCTAGACATTGCTATTACTGGCCTGATGTCTTGTGCAGAGGAGCGTTTCCTCTTTATAATAAACGACAGTGGCCTTTTCTAAGGAAGGAAAAAGGCAGAAATCTTTCTGGCCTCTTGAACACTTCATTGTACAACACTGCTGCAAGTTAACTTATTTGGTAGACATGATTTTTAACATTTGCAGAGTAAGTTGGCTAGGCTGGCATTTGAGCTCGGGAAGTTAAGAATTTCTTTTTAACAATACTTGATAGCATTTCCACAGTGATACCTACCTATTTGCCACATGTCTGACCACTTAAAACCTTCATTCTTCCCAACAACCCTGTGACACCTTTGTTACCCCCGTTTTATAAATGAGGGAACTGAGGCACACAGGTTGTGTACTTATTAGGATTTTAGCACATGTATTTAGAGAGTTGAGGTTGGTTGCACCCCCAGTAAGTACTTTAGTACAAGAAATGCTAGTTGAGGTCCCTATTCACATTGTCTCAGATGATTGAGCTCCATCGTTTTCCCCAAATGCTTCCCAGTCAGAGGATTGTTAACCAGAACTACAATTATTTTGGGTAACGTCGGATCAATACAAAAAGATTTTTCATAGGGATATAGTTGAAAAGCATTGGATTCTGAGGTGGAGTGACATCGCATTTCTCCATTTAGTGAAGCTGATAGGTACTGCATGGACCTGTTTTGTGATCATGTAGTGTGTTTGGTACAAGAATCTAAAAATTGATAACTTTTAACACTCAAAAACAATGCCTTAAAATTTAAATTCAGTTACTTAATTGCTTTGTAAACTAATCTAGTTTTTGAAAGGCCTGAGATGTCATTTTAAAATAATAACTGGAGAAATAGCCTCCATTTGCCTGTCAGGGCTCTTTCCTTCCTGCTACACAAAGTTCCATAGAGCAACTTGACTGAACCCAGGCTCTAATGTGAGGACTATCAAGTTTCAACAAAATAAATGGGTTAACTCAGAAATTCGAGAGAACTAAAGCATTAAAGTCATACTTTTCAAAGAATTCTTCATATGTAAATGGTTTAACCTCTTCCAAATTTAAAATGTTTTCACTTTTCTTACAAAACATCATTGCAGACAATGTTTGGAAAGTATGGGAAAAGTAGAATGAAAAATAATCCCCTTTAATTTTAGTGTGCAGATAATTTTTAACAGTTTGATGTCTTCCCATTTTGTTTTCTAGGCATAAGATAGACATTTTAAATCACAAGTGGAAGCATACTTTATATATAAACTTTGAATGCTTTTCCTACCCTTAACCCCTGTAAAATACTTCTTTTGAAAAATTATTTTAGTGACAATGTGTCATCAAATCTATGTGCCATAATTTAAATATTCCCTTTTGAATATTTGGGCTATTTCTATTTTTTCTCTATTTTAACATCTAATTTTATTCATGAAGATTTTTAAAAAATTCTTTATAGTACCAACAGTCAAGTTTAATTTTCAGGGTTACAATGATGTTTCCTAAGGGTCTTAGTCTGCTCAGGCTGCTGTAACAAATTACTGTAGACTGGGCGGCTTCAACAACAAACAGCTATTTCTCAGAGTTCCGAAGACTGGCAAGTCCAAGAGCCAGGTGCTGGCAGGTTCAGCTCTTAGTGGGGGCCCCCGTCCCTGTTTCCGGAGTCACCCTCGTCCTCGTGGATCCTCACACGGTGGAGCGCAGAGAGGGAAGCAAGCTCTCTTATCTCTGCTCTGACAAGGGTACTGAGGTCATGGTGGGGGTTCCAACCTCACAACTTCGTTACCTCCCAAAGGCCCCCACCTCCTAATACATTGGAGATTAGGGTTCCAATATATGAATTTTGGAGGAACACAAACATAACACTAACACATTTCACATCCATAACACTAAGGTGTGAAATGTGCCTGATTAGTGACCATTTCCTCGCTTGTGTTAGTTCAGCCACTTCAGTTCTTGACCACAGACCACACTTCTTCACCCTCTCTGCTAATTCCTCGCTTTCTCACCGTCCAGGTCCAGTTCGCTCTCTCCTCTCACCCCAACCAGCACTCAGGAGCACAGAGTCCTGTTGTGGTGCGTAGATAAAGAAGACCACAGACTGGTGTGAACTTAGCGCCAGCTCTGTCCAAGTGGCCAAAATGGATTCTGCACTGCTCTAGGTTTTTATTTTATAAAAAACAAAGTTTTTATTGAATCCAGTTCTGTGTATATGACTTGAAGTATTTTTGACAGGTTCCTAAGAAGACATGTGAATGTAGTCAGTGGTTTCTTTTTAAAGTCTAATGTTTCTCCTTCCATTGAATTGCTTGTAATTCTATTAGATGGATGCAGGATGGGGGTAGGGGGAGTCTTTCACCCTTAAAAGCAGAAAACATCCATATATTTAAGGAAATAAGCTTATTTTCAGCAGTGCAATAACATATACTTTTTACCCTAATGATTTGGAGCTTGGGCTCCCAGAATTTTGATAGGCAGGGCTGTATCCAGCTTTATCAGTGAACTATTTCATCATACCAGCCAAAATCATATACAGGCATGCTCGGAGACATTGTGGGTTTGGTTCCCGACAACCACAATAAAGCAAATATCACAATGAGTGAGTCACATGAAGGTTTTGATTTCCCAGTGGATATAAACTTATGTTTATACTATACTATAGTCTATAGCATTATGTCTTAAAAAAAGAACATACCTTAAAAATTACTTTATTGCTAAAAATTGCTACCCACCATCTGAGCTTTCAGCAAGTCCTCATCTTTTCGCCTGTATAGAGTCTTAACTTCAATTTGTAATAAAATACAGTATCTGTGGAGAGCAATAAGGTGAGGTGCAATAAAATGATGTATGCTCTACCAGTATTTGGAGTAAGGTTGTGAAGCCGGCTGAATATTATGATTTTTCTCTGAGTTAGATTCCTCACTCCTGGTTAAAGGCCTGTAATTATTAGATACTACCAGTAGAACCAGTGGCATGTGGAGCCAGCTCATCCAGGCGGTCAGAGCCAATTATGTGTCTCTTTCCAGCTCTGTGTTCAGTGATGTCAGGTTGGTACCTTGAAATTGGCATGGTGGGAGCATTTACACTTGGGAAATCAGCAAACTCTCTTCATGAGTTTTCATAGCATTTCTACATCAAAAAATGCTTTCTAATTTCCAGAGTATTGGCTATAATTGCTATTTAATAATTTTGAGTAAATTTTAAATGTTTCTGGATAATTTGAATGATTATGTAAGTATTTTTGCCATACATTTACATTCTTCTATAATTTGCTTTCACTTTCATTCATTCACTCAACAAATATTTATTAGAAACTACTTTGTTCTAGAAACAGTACCGCTGGATATATATTAATACAATTGTCAACAAAGCAGACCCTTCCCCTACTCTCATGGTACATAGGGGAGATCATGTTAAATGAGCATACAAATACATTTTTAATTGCACACATTGGGATAAGAATCACAAAGGGAAAGTACACAGTGCTGTTAAACAGTGTAGGAATGGAATCTCCTGGGAAGCTAAGGTAGGCTTTTCTGAGAAAGTGATGCTTAAGCTCAGAGCAAGAATACGTACATGTTAGCTGGGTAGAGAGTAGGGAGAGCATTCCAGACATAAGAACCAACATGTCTTATGCCTTAGGTCAACATGTGCAAATGTCTTAGGTCAAGAAACAGCTTGTATTTTTTAAAAAAGTAATTCATGCAGCCCAATTCACTCTTAATATTTAGAGCCCAATAAATCTGATATATGTGAACAAATTGCTAATTGCTAAAAAGGACCATTCTATTAGCAAATAGCTTTTAGTCACCTTTGAGGCCCCAAAAGATCTGTGCCGCCTTTTCCTTCCTAAGGGAGACCGAGACCAGTGAAGGAAAAGCTCTGCTCGGCATTAGAAGATATTTTAATTATGCAATCCCCTAGATACCTTAGACATCAACCTACTATTAAGGAGGAAAAGATCAAAATTATTGACTGAATTCCCCAGATATTCATTCAGCTTCTATATTCCTTGGCCTGTGCAAATAGCCTGAGGGCTATGCCCTCTCCCCCCTCCCTCTCCACTTCTTTCTCTCTAGAAATAAGCTTACAGCTTGACATGCCTAAAGAACAAATAGCCTTGAAGAAAACTCAAGTGTTTACTGCATCACTGTAAGTTTTACAAAGAATTTATAAGCTATATAGTCTG